AGTTGGCTGTGACCAAGAAGTGACTACAACCTTGTCCCTTGTCAGCTCTACTATACCCCTGGGAATTCTTACAGAACATACAAATACACCTGAAGAACCATTGTCTGCCAACCCTATACACTCCCTGCTGCATGTTGTTGTTGTTGTTATTTGCCGTCGAGTTGACCCCGACTCATATAGATATACCTAATCGTTCAGCCTGTCCACCCATCTATCCACCCATATACCCGTGTTTGCCTTCACTGACAACGCAGTACTGTATATGCAAAAGGGTTCATCTTTGTTGTCTGCACCTCCCTATGTCTTCCTCTTCCTCAATGCCACCATGTTAATCACTCATATTTGGTACATTGCTTTAAGGAGGTCTTTTGCTGCAGATTTGCCCAATGCAATACGTCATTTGATTTCTTGACTGCTGCTTCCACAGTGTTTGTTGTGGATGCAAGTAATAGGAAATCCTTGACAATTTTAATCTTTCCTCCACTTATTATGATATTGCACAAATTGGTACAGTTGTGAGGCTTTTTGTTTTGTTTTTATGTTTTCAGTGTTTATTCACATGGAAATCATCAACTGTTACCTCACCGGGCTTGCCGTTAGCACTGTTTAACTAGTAAAGATGACTTTTCATATGCTTGTTGGTTTGTAATTTTTCTCTCTGAAATGCCTGCTCAGAAGCCTTTGTTTTAAGTGATACAGTATCTCTATTTTAGTAAATTCTTAGTGATTAGTAAGATTTTTGATCGTGTTGCAAATTTCTGTCAACACATGTTACAAATAGTTTCCCAGTTTATGGTTTTTCGATTTAGTTAGGGAATCTTTTGGAAATCAGTATCTTACATTTTCTGATTTTGCCTGCCAAGATACTCTTTTCCAGACTTCAGCATTACACAGTGTGCTTCTTTTTTTTACTTCAGATATTTTGATGGTTTCATTTATTAAATTACATTTTTAATCCGCCTGGAATGTATTTATGCTCTCGGCCAGTTTCTGGCCCATCTCCTAGAAAACTATTAGGCGTTGCTTAGCAACCTCCACGTGACTGGGATTTTTTTCTTGGGGGGTGTCAGCTGCACTCCTTTGTAAACTGACGCAAACCTTAAACCGTTGCCTAGCAACTCGATTGGGGCGATGTGATTGGACCTTTCCACAAGCTCCTGAGCGCCGAAAGGACGTAACTAGAAACTTCATCTCACTCTTAGAAAACAAGGGCAGCTTACTGGTGGCGTGCCAACCAAATCTCTTGCTCATCGCGTTTTGAACAGAGTGGGAAACAACGGTGCCCCGCTCAAAGATGGCGGCCAAGGGCCGGTTTAAATGTGTGTCTCTCCACAGTGCTGCCAGTAATCCAATCTCAAGGATTAGGATTAGGAAAGGGCTCACCACCGTCCTCCGAGTCCCCCATTAGGAAGGGACAAGAGAGAAAGGAGATTGGGCCAAGCCGCCGTGCATGCCCCGCACAAACATGGCCCCGAGCGCGTCAGCGGAGGCACGAAGCCTCCCTACGGGGGCGCGCGCGCGGCGCAGGCGCACTTTCGGTCATTCCGCGAAGACGACGGCGGCCGCGGCAGCTACGGTGGCGGCTGCCGCTCGGGGCATGGTCCCCGGGTCGGAGGGCCCGGCCCGCGCCGGGGGCCTGGTGGCTGACGTAGTGTTCGTCATCGAGGGCACGGCCAACCTGGGGCCCTACTTCGAGGGACTCCGCAAACACTACCTGCTCCCGGCCATCGAGTGAGTGCGGCTTCCGCGCCCGCGACCCCGCCTTCCGCCTCTAGTTTTCCTCAGCCTCTTTTCCGACCCGACGTTTCACTTCTGACCCTCATAGGTATTTTAATGGTGGTCCTCCTGCCGAGACCGACTTCGGGGGAGACGTGAGTCTCGGGACGCAGGCGTCGGTGGGGGAGGGGCGGGGGACTGGGACTTCCGGGTCTAAGAGTCGCGAGGCTGAGGGAGGAGGGCGGCGGGCGCCCGGGCTCCTGGGTCTGAGGGAGGAGCCAGCTGGGGGCCCTGATGGAATCGTCCTTTCTCTCCCCGCCTCAGTATGGGGGGACCCAGTACAGCCTCGTCGTATTCAACACGGTGGACTGTGCTCCCGAGTCCTACGTACAGTGTCACGCTCCTACCAGTAGCGCCTATGAGTTTGTCACCTGGCTCGATGGCATTAAGTGAGCGGCGTCCCTGCTTGGGGCGGATTGGGGATCCTGTGGGGGATGGGGAATGAGTGGGTGCTTGGGGGTGAGCTTCAGGAACCGTTTGTTCTCACTGGGTGGCTGAAAGGATTCTGGGGGGTGGGGTGGGAGATTGTGTGTTTTTGTCCCCGAGTCACTTCTGTGGCAGGTTGTGTGTGTCACCCCGTTTGGCAGCAGAAGGAACCTTGTAGTCGGAGAGGCCTCGTGGGGCACCCCAGGCTACCTCAGACTCCATCTGTGATGGGGTTGCTCTCCCCGTCCTGGATGGTGGTTTTGATCAACTACTGACATAAAAGTTGGCAATTTGAACCCACCCGGTGATGCCGTGGAAGAAAGGCCTGGTAATCTGTAAAGATTACAACCCAGAAAACCCTAGCAGGCCGTTCTGCTCTGTAACACGTGGGATCACTTAGTGAGTTGAGGGCCTGACTCACTGGGAGCCAACAACTGTAGGAGGTAACAAATACTTCGTAAACGCCTTAATCACATGTCTATTTAGCTTAATTTAAGATGCAGTATTTGTTGTTGTTGTTATTTGCCGTCAAGTCGGACCCGACTCATAGCGACCCCTCCTTGGGTTTCCGAGGCAGTATCACTACGGAAGTAGACTGCCCAACCTTCCTTCTGAGGAGTGGCTGGTGGGTTTGAACCGCCAGCCTTCTGGTGAGCAGTCAAGTGCCTTAGGCACTATGCTACCAGCGCTCCCAAGAAACAGTATTTAAGCAGATAAAAACATTCTCCCCACCCCCCACTGTGGATTCTCCACTGTGGTAAGATTTTTGAGCCCTCCTTTGACATTGACCGTAAACATTGTCACGTTATTTTCTGTACGGGTATCTAAATAGTGTGTTATAGTCCAGAGAAGTCTCTCACAGGGATGACAAGAAAATCGACTTTTGTTCACACTCTGAAAATGATGTGTCAATGCCATCTGGTCTTTTCTAACATTATAGGGGAGGAGCCACCCTAGGCTGCTTGCTTCGATCCTTTAACCGATCCTGACACCAACCGTCCTTCCCATGGTCCTCTACTTCTCTGCTGGGTTCCATTCATTACAATGGCCACATAGAACTCACAGTTAGAGGGTTTATTAAGGAATTAACAAGTTACCATTTAGGATCACCAGCGGCTCAGGATACAATTCTTGGGTCAGACAATCCCTGGGTCCCTCGGGCTGTCCTCTGTCCAGCTCTCGTGAGAGTTACATAGCCCTTTAGCTTTCCAATAAGTCCCCAGACACCCTACTCTGTCAGGAAGCCTCCTGCCCAAAGGCAGTTCGCTCGCTCTCTCTGAGGATCGCACATCCGCTGTAGCTGCCTTATGCCGTGGGTTGGGAAGTCTACCACACTTCTGCCGTTTCTCACCATCTCCAGTGTTACAGCTTTGTCTCTTAGGTCCGGGAGGTTCTTAGTGCATGGATCCCAGGTCCAAAGGGACATGTTCCATTCCTGGCTTCTCGGTGATACTGAGGCCCCCACTTTCCGCCTCTGGGATTGCTCATTTTGAGCCTAGCTGGCTGGCAAAACCGACCATCCCCTTCGTAGGACTCTGTACACCTTATTTGCATGATCCCACCCCTGCAGGGTTCCATGTGTCTTAACTTGTATCATGAGCGAGCTGTGTAATCCCCTTGGTGGGTCACAGACACCTTACTTGCTAGTCCCAACCAGTCTTCAGGGAGAGTCATAAAACCCTGCCTGGGAAGGCCATATAAAAGCCATCTGTCGCACTGCACACTCAGAGGACTTGTTTCTTTGGGAACATCACTAATTTCAGGAACAAGGCGTGCAGAGTGGTTTTTCAAATGTCTTTGTTTTGGGAAGATTCATGCCTGGTGTTGACTTTCTACAGAAGGGTCTACACACACACACACACACAAACACACACACACACGTGTATGCAGACACAGACACAGCTGTTTTGGGCTTTGGTGCCGTCGGGTCAGTTTTCACTGGTCGAGACCCAGTGTCTGCAGAGTAGAGCTGCTCCACGGGGACTTTAAGCCTGTGGTCTTTCAGAAGCAGATTGCCAGCCTTCCTGAGATGTTCTGGGTAGGTTTGAACCGCCAGCCTTTCGGGCAGTAGTCAGTGCTTTAACTGGTTGCCCCCAGGGGCTCCTACGGCTAGTGACCTTGATTTAGAAAGAGTAAAACTAGGAAGGAGAATGACCCCAGTGCTTACCCCATGAAGCCCTAAGTGGCACAGACTGTCAGTGCGCACACCTCTGACCAAGGGGTTGGAATGTCAGGTCTTAGCAGAGGTGCCTGAGGAAGCAGCCCTGGTGGTCTCCTTCCAAATCGGCCCCTGAGAGCCTGTGCCGCCCAGTCTGCTCTCACACATGGAGTTGGCACGAGTAGGGGTCATTTCAGTGGCAGCTGGTCTGGCCTTTTTGGTCTCGGTGCCACATTATGTTATGACTGCTTGTTAGGCTATCCACTCATTCATTCCACACAGGATTGTGCGCCCTTGGCTGTGCCCAGCCCTGTCCTGAGCACCGAGGAGTCCGTGCTTACAGAACAAAACAGGCAAGGGCCTCGGCCTCATTGTGTGTGGTGACAGGCCAGGTGGGGGGCCTGACATGCAGGAAGCCTTTCGTAAAAGCATTTGTCATGACCCAGACCTCCCACGACCTCTTGGACCTCTGGTGACCTTGTACCCGTGAAAGTATTTGGTGATGAAAGCTGGAGGCAGTGATGCTGGGAAGAACACGCCAAGGTGGTGGCTTGAGTTACATGGAGACCCCTCCAAACATTGGTTTGAGTTCAACAACAGGCCGTGGCGCCAGAGTGGACCTAGGGCTGGTTCGTTCCATGAGTCCCACCCTAGGTTACATGCGCTTGAGATCTCTGTGCAAAGTGGGGACTTCTTTGTTTTAATAATCGATGTTGTTGTCAGGATCATACACAGAGCACGTACACCAGTTCAGCAGTGTCCACGTAGACCCCAGTGTCACTGAGGACGTTCCCCACACCCTCCTCTTCTGAGATGTCACTCCACCACTCACATACACTCAGCTTTCCCAAACTTCTCTGGTCTGATATCAAGTTGTTATTGTCGGTTTGGTTCCTTATAGATAGGTCTTCAGTGGGCGCACTGCTCGGGGTGGACATTCTTGATTTCTTAGCTGCCGTGTTGTTTGGTTTTAAGAAGATCTCAGGATAGTTAAGATTTAAGGATTATCTGAGGGCAATGCTTGGATCTTTGATCAAACTCTTCAGTTATGGCAGCCAGGCACCATCCAGTTTTTCTGGTCTTACGGCAATAGGGGCAGTTGTTCATGGAGGCACAGAATAGGGTCCTTCTTTAAAAAAAAAAATTATAGCCCATTTATTTTTTGCTTATTTTTCTCCTTGTTTTTTATCTGGCTGAGGAAATACACAGCAAAACATACTCCAATTCAGCTGTTTTTTCACATCCAATTCAGATGGGGGCCAGGGGCCCCCATGGTTACTCTCTCACAGCTCTTCTGAGTTAAGATGACAGATGTCCTGTTCTCGTTGTCTGGGGCAGGCCTCGGGTATGGGACAGGGACCTCAGCTGTGTCCTGAGACAGCCCAGCACAGGCTGGGGACAGCCAGCGAGCAGCCTCGTCCCACGTGGGGTCTGGGTGCCACGGTGGGGCTGAGGGCTGCGCGTCTGTCCCCGCAGGTTCATGGGCGGCGGAGGGGAGAGCTGCAGCCTCATCGCCGAAGGCCTCAGCACCGCCCTGCAGCTCTTCGATGACTTCAAGAAGATGCGGGAGCAGATGTGAGTGGGCC